CGAGAGCGAGAGCGAGAGCGAGAGCGAGAGCGAGAGCGAGAGCGAGACATACACACCACAATACATACCAAACCTTACATACCACACAGTATAACAACAGTCACCATACACACACAACAAAAAGACGTACAGACACACACACTACACCCACACATACATATCACACAGATACTAAAAGATGAAAGCTGAAGTTACTGACCCAAAAGAAAGTAACTCTTTTAAAACTATTCTAAATTATTTTTTTCATAAAATGTATTTTTATCATTTTCTTCTTCCCTAATTCCTCCCAGATCCTAACTCCCAATTTCATGTTCTCCTCCCACCCCTGCTGTCTCTGCCTCTCTCTCTTACACACATACAAACAAAAATGCAAATTAAATCAAACATAAAATGAATAAGGCAAAAGTAACCAAAAAGCAACCTCCCAATCAATGGACAAAATAGAGTCCGTTTTGTGTCGGCCAAGTACTCCTGGGCATGGGGCCTACCCAGGTGTGCAGTTGATTTCCTCCATTGAAGAAAACTAGTTTTCCCTTTCCTAGCAGGAACATATCTGCAAATAGCTACTTGATAGGGGCTGGTCTTTGTGTCTGCTTTCCTTTCTCCAAGACAGAGAGTAACTAAAGGGTGTTGGGGTGGCTTCTGCCACTCGTGCAGTGAGATCCTATTATGTTAAATGCTTCTTCCAGCTTGCCAGGTCTGCTTTGGTCAGTACACACAAAGAGTCATCCTTTCCATTCATCCTTTTTTTTTCTGTCTTTTGAAACAGATATACAGGCATAGAACTTACCTCCAGGAATAGCTCAGAGGTGATGCTTTCAATTTAGTCAGGAGAAATACATTACATTTCTGCCCCCTTTGGAAATACTGCTTAGTCTCTGTGCTCATGACCCCATAAGAGCTAGGTGGTTTCAAACACAATGGAGAGTATAGCCATAGGAGAAGCATCACTGCAAATGCACACAATGGACATTCATAGTCTAAGCTCGAAGATTTATATAGTTTATCTATAAAAATAATCCTTGCCTTTCAGAGGCTTTACATGTAGTACAGTACAGCTCAGTACTTTAAAATTCATGCCTTTTTTATTTCTTAGGTTGAAAGGGATTTCAAATTATAGCTATAAGTCATAAGAATGCCAGAAAATTCTTACCCAATTTTCAGATCAGAAAACATCTTTTAATAGGAGTTATAAAACATATTGGAAAGAATCCAAGAGAGTTGTTGAGATTTTAGATTTTTCTTCCGGTACAATTCTATTTCAGTGTATATGTCTGGGTCTTTTTTTTTTTCCAGAATGAAGATTTTTTTTCTTCTCCTTTTTCATGGGAATGATTACATTAGTTCATCTGTTTAAATGAAGTATCGATATAAAAGCACTAGCTGTCTGTTACTGTGTTGTCTGTCCACATTACAACATGTTTTCAAAAGGATACTTTCCTAACCTTGTATTTAAGAAGTTATTATATATTGTCAAGTTTCTGTCTTAGGGACATACCCCAGTTTTCCACATTACCAGACAGTATGCCCCCAAACCCCACCCCCAGAGTTCCACACACTTACGGAAGCACAGTTTTCAGACTCGTCTTCCACAAACCCAATCTGGCAAGGCGTCCTTTGGTTCTGCAACCAGTAGTCTGTGGACTCCAGCAAGCTGTTGCTTCGAAGAACCTGGGGGAACACAGACAAAGCCTTTCAGGGTTGCCCAGCCAGGGTTTAGAGCTAAACAAGCAGCTTCCCACTGTAAAACTTGTAGGTGATTTTTCTTCCAGGCTTTCCTCTGAGCAGCTGGGTGAGGAAAAGAGTAGAGAGAAACCTGCTGGATTAGAATTTACAAAACGTTCTGCCATGATCTGGTTTGCTGATGTTACCGATGTTTCTTTTTTTTGGGGGGGGGGGCCCCGAGACAGGGTTTCTTTGTATAGCCCGGGCTGTCCTGGAAGTCACTCTGTAGACCAGGCTAGCCTCGAACTCTCGAACTCAGAAATCCGCCTGCCTCTGCCTCCCAAGTGCTGGGATTAAAGGCGTGCGCCACCACTGCCCGGCACCGATGTTCCTTATAGTTCTTCAAATCTAACACCAGTTGGCTCTTGCTTAATTTCCAAACCAAGTGATTGTTTTCGGGTCCCAGCCGTCAGTGGGCATATATGAATACTTCTTATTTTTAAAGCATCATGTTTTCTTTTTTGCTGCACTGGCCACTCTTTATTCCTTTGATTGCACTAACACAGGTATGAAATTGGGTGCAATTCTTCTAGAAAAGCTAAGGTATCGGGCTATTTAAAAATATTAGGAATAATATGGTCCCACTGGTAAAAGCGTTCTCCCATTTCGCAATAGATGGACACCATATCAACAAAGCCAGACATGGTTTATAAATGCAGGTTTTGGTCTTGGGTTTCAAAGTAAAGACAAGAAACATTTTTTTTTCAGAGCCAAATATTTTGAAGATACAATGTTTTAAGTAACCAGACGACTCAATTTTGAATATGGCTTATCTAAATAGTGTACACATTGACTTCTCATTTAAGATTCCCAATGTTAATCATGGTTCTCTTTTAAAGTGAATGTCTGTTAATTTGTGATTACAGCCTTCGCTTAAGCAATGTAATAGATTTAACCAATTCAGCTAATGGCCCCTAAAATAGAATTCTAACTCAATTACTACGAAATACTGTTTCTTTTATCCTATAAAAACAGAAATGTGTTAATTTTGTTTTAGAGTAGAGTTAACATATATAGTTCTGAAATTCTTTCTTATAGCATCCTTCCCCCTCAGATGTGTGATTTCACTTGTGCGTATCTTCCTAGTCAATATTTATTGTGACCTAAGGATGACAAACCTCCATCTTTCTTTTGGAATAACATAAAGAGATAATTTGTACATCAGCAAGTAGTTGAACGGTGAACTTGGTGCTGTTTCTGAAGATTAAATCAGGCAGTGGTCCTTCTCACTCCTCTCAGAGGGAGATTCTTCTTAATAAGGCTAACATAGCACTGCTGTTTTAATGTCCATTATCTCTGAGTATTCAGTTACATTTCTAAAAACAATGTGACTTGTAGTGGCTCAGAGGCCTGAATATAGAAGCACCCGGGAGAGATCGAGAAAGCCGTTGTCTCTTAAAGAGAGTGGACTGTTGTTGGGATGCATTGTGAGAAAAAAGAAGACATAAAAAGAAAAAAGTAAGGAAAAAAAAGCAGTTGAAGAGATTCGCAAATGTTCAAAATAAATTCAAATTTTTCTCACCCAAAAGTTTTATTGTATTGAAAATTATATGTATTACATTAATGAGTATATTATTGAGAGTTTAGCATTTTAAAAGTAGTCATGCTAGACATGAGGAAACAGATGCTGGAAAAACAGATCTGTTGGTAAAGCACTTGCAATAAAATCAGGAGGACCTGAGTTTCCTCCTCAGAATCCACACATAAAAGCCAGACTATCTCAAGAAATGCCAGGTGGTACCTGAGAATGACACTTGGAGTTATCTTCTGACCTCCATGTGTAAGTGATGGGGTCGGGTACACACATGTGCTTACCACGTTCTCTCACACATACACACAGACACACATAAGCGCACATGAGAACAAAAAATAAAAACTCTAAGATAAGTAGATAAAATATAAAGAAATCTAAATTATTGTAGATGTTAAAAGAATTTTGAGTTGTTAATGTAATTATATGTATGTATACATACTATATATATATTATATTATATATATATATATATATATATATA